TTGCAATCTGTATTGCCTCGACACTCGTCTGACGTGACATCGATCGAAAACGAATCAAGACAGCAACAAGGCTTCCACGATGCCCTGACCATCGAGATTTTGGGAGTCAGAGGGATCCTTCTACCACCCATTTCCACTGTATACCTAAGGGAAGAACTCAGTAACCATTTTTATCGTGAACCGTGCCTTTAAAGAAATCAAACAGTCCAGAAGATTATATTGTACTTCATGTTCAGGATCATGACCGCAAGTTGAAATGTGTCAAAGGGTCCAGAATTCGCTGATTAGTTCGTGTCGGCAAGTCGTCTAGAATTGAGGAAACAACACTGAGAATGGGATTTGGAAGTAATTCGACTCACTCAATCAAACTATCCGGCCTTTGTCCGGTTCATTACGTTATTACAGTTGCGCGCAGCTGCGACATCTGACTTTACTTACTTACTTTTACCATAGTCACCGTATGAAAGGCCTACGTTATGGCTTCATCAAACCCTATAGGTCCTCCATCACCCTTCATGCCTCTTGCTCGTTCCAGTGACCGCTTATCCGCCGCCCCTGCTCTACGGGTATTGTAAACGAATGAATATTGCACAACACAGGGACATGATGGATTATTGCCCTAACATGATTAGAGGAATGCCGAGGACAAGCCAATATGGACACGAGAAATAGATGAATGAAATGGAAAAATGAAGTGGACGACATCAATCCGCTATTATTGAGAAGATTAGTCCGAAAATCGAAAACCAAACTCAGGAAGTAAAAAAAAGGCAGCGCAGAGTCAAAGCAACTTAAGAGGATGACGAGGCTGTTGACAAAACGGAGGGTCGACCTTATCAATCGGGATTTACGATATCTCCACTACAAGGTTTCCTTCTGAAAGTTGGATGGCATCCAGCAATACGGTAGCTACATACAACCCAGTAAAGATTACTTTGGGGTTAGTTAGGAGCAATTGCCTAGATTTTACTCGGAAATACTTTCAAGTCTTGTACATATACATGTGCCACATCGAAGAAGTGGCTAGGGTAAATAAGTGTTATAAGATAGTCTTAATGGTCAAACCAACTGTAGCACTCCAGTTTCCACAATGAGAAGCTTTTTGGAAGCAGAATCAGTTTTCTGACCCTTTTGCACCAGATCTTATAGAGCATACTGGAAAATCCGACTAACCAGATTGAGATGACGACAGTAAGACCCAGACTGGATTCTTTTCGTTTTTTGGATTTTGCCTAGGGTGCAATTATGTGTAGAACATGAAATCCAGCTCAGCTGGCATTTAAAACAAACCAGTTCAATTAGGTTACCCACCTCATAGAAATACATTTTTAAAAATTGGCGAGTCTACGCTATTTAATGGAAATTTCGGAGATCGTTCGGAAACAAAAGGCTTGGACAGCGTCTACAGATTTATTTACTCAACAGTTCCCGATTAATTTTTTGCCTTTTCTCAATTACTGTCGAAGTAGCATGAGCTATGTGGCTAACCAATGGTAGAAATTGAAACTTGGGTTCATCTCAACTCTGGAGTGCTTTCTGCACCTTCATAAAATTGAAAAAAAGATAATAAAATTTTGAAGAGTCTATGTTCAATTCGCATATTTATTCAATGAATCTTGAAGTGCCCGTGAAAATGGCAAAACGGTTTCCCTTGCAAAAGGTAGATCTTCAGAAGTGCCGTGCCTTGGTACCCTTGAGTAGAATGTTAACGCTACTTTACTTCATTGTTACTTTGAGTTCGATAGATGAAAATAAAGACTGGGTGATGTACATAATCAGTCAATGGCAAGAATAAGAATCNCATTCCGACTTACCGGACTTGGACTGCCCCTAACAGTTGGGAAAGGACCAAATGACTTGAGACAAGATTTGGCCTTGGGAACATAGGCTTTACAACGAACTGCTACCTAAGGAACTCCTCACACTGTCGAGGGGCAAGTACATCCTTGCGTTTCGTATCCTTCTCAAAACGCAGCCCAGAGAGAACTTTCTGGGAATGGGTGCCTTCAATTTCAAGGAGACTATCATGATATTTAACAATCCGAGTTATGCCCTACGAAGTCATGACGAAACAGCACACCGTGCTTTGTCGGTTTGCCGGTTTGTTTCGCACAATTTGAAAAAAAAAACGAATTGATTGAAAAAATATGCCATGAAATCCTCAGTACTTGCCGACTCTCAACCCTTTCTTTCACTCTTATAGATTTCAAGGTAACAATTCGAAAACAGAAGATGATAATCAAGTCAAATCAAAAAGACGTGCACTTGAGCATTATTCAGTTGCAGCTTTTCTGAAAAAATTAAACACGTTACCTTACGGTTTCCTTTTTTTCTAGAAATTCCTTAGAAACCAAAACCGTGCTTTTTATCACCAAAAAAAAATATAATTAATCCTTTCGTACAATGATAAAGAGCTATAATCATCGGATTTTACTGGTTGTAAAACAACCCTTCTACACCCTTTTCTATCTCATGATTGATCGGCAAAGCCCAGTGAAACCCAGAGCTCGAGGTTTACTCTAACTATTTGGAAAGCTTAGCCGAGAATTAAAAAATGGTTGGCTATATTTAATGCAAAGCTTACATTTCACACCCAGATACGGTATCTCCTACACTGACTAAGCCATACGTTCCTGACACTGACGACCAGAACTTTAACCTAAAGAGAGCAAATCTAGGTAAAAATCGAGGGTTACCGTACTCAGAAGGCAGGGGTTAAGGCTTTCGAAGGAAAGGAAGTAGATGACGGGTTTTTCCATCGAGAGCCTTAACCCTTTTTTTCGAAAGTTAACGAAAGCCCTAACTACTCCTCCCAAGACGTGTAGGACCGCTATTGTAGGTATTGACGGCATGGCATAGCGCCAGAGAGGCGTTAATTAAACAGCCATTCTGGAAAACGTTTCGCAGTCAATCCCCCGGGGACGGAAATTTCATAGTGCAACAATGGCGCGTTACGCTTTTAATTACAAGATCGCGGATTTAATTATATAGTTACCAGATGGTGGTATTACCTTCATTAGAATCAGAATTGGATATTGTCAAAAATGAAGAATAACTTTCATAACGGAGGAGCCGCCTAGCGACGTATCAATCACTGGCAGCTACCGTAATCGCCGAAGAATCATCGAGAGGGTCGTTGACGGCCGATAGCTGGCTGGCTGTTGGTGGTCGAGGCTGAGGGGGCTGTAGGGCTGTGGACGCTGGCTGGATGGCAGCAGGCTGGCCGGCTGACTGGCCGGGGACGGCCGGCAAAACGCCGGAACCCTTCCCAAATGGGCGTGACTTGACTTCCTGTAATCCGAAAAAGTAGTCAGCGGAATCGATTTCGTTTCAATTAAAAATTCCACTAGCATTGGGCCCCCGATGTGATCGACACACTGGGATGGATGCTGGCATACATTGTAATTAAATAGCATGGCTAGAGCGAGGGGATCAGTGAATGAGTGGAGCCGACATGAAGTCGTCATCGTTTTAATCGTTTAGTTTACGATCGAAAAAAGAAAATTCAGAAAAAAAGTGATGAAGATTTTGGCCATCCATCTGTGGTCACCGCATTTACAGCCAACTGTCCGTCAACATTTGGATGAAAAACTCTATGAAATGACAAGAAGCTATGAATAAGCCAATGAGGTGCATACATTTGCCCTGCATTTCCTAGGTTTACAAAGTTTACAACGCTCATTCATAATAAGCAACTAAAAAGTAATCGCTTGAGGACCAAATATCGAAAGAGCATGCCAAATCGATCTGATCTTGAAATAACCCTCAGTAAATCTTATTTACTTGTTTGTTTACATGCACATGTATGCCAAAGATCGCTGGCAGTGGCTTAGTCAGGACTGCAAAACACTAAATTCACTAGAAAGGAGAAATCAGACGCTAAAGTATGTATTTTTTTCAAGTTTCCTGAAGAAATTCTTGAGATTTCCCAGACAAGGACAAGATTGCCTATGCCTGCCTACGAGGTATAGGGGAAAGACACAACTTGAGGTCATGGGTGTCCCTTGTGCATAATACACCATCTACGACGCCTTCGAAACTCGTCCTTTTTTGGGCGTGTCATACAGGTGACACAATCTTTGAGCTCTTATAACGCCTTACCCAGTTCTCCAATCTGACAGGGCCACATATGTAATGTGTGGCAGCCACAGATTCACCTTTGGGAGATATCTAGGAACAATTTTCATCGTGAACTGTGCGTTTGAGGTTGGAAGAACCATCATTTGTAGTATGTATAGTTGGCAATGTAATCCGCTCGAGGTAGCCGGGGATCCAGAACAGCTGACGATAGGGAACCATCTCCCAAATGTGGCAAGAAATATGTTTGGTTAGTTACTAACACGTTTTCTTAGAAACGGGACTCATTCACAGCCAGCCCATATTTCAAGTATTCGTTACTTGCAGGCAATCGATCAATCGAAAAAATATCGATCAATTGATTACAATGGAACGACCGCGTCAAAATACAATGGAATGGCCGCCCCTAACGGTTATTTTTTCGCAAATACCTAGTTGTAATCACTTCTGCAATCCCAGTTAGGAGCCCAGCGCATGGCGCATCGTAGATCATGGGTGACTGTAGCGAATTCCAGTACCTTCGAGCAGGAATTTTGCCTGTAGACTTCGTTAGGCATGCTTGCCTCAGTGAAAGAGAGGAATCGATCTTCTCACCGAAATGCGCCATGCATTCAACTTCTAACCAAAATTCTACAGCCCGAGCAATGATCAGTGGATATGAGATTCACTGTCCCTACCGATATCGTGATACCGACCGCCCAACCCAGAAATATGAAGATCGACTCGGCCAAAACTTGGCCCTGATTTTCACTGGAGATACGAATACGGTAGTGGCGTCTATTGGAATCCGCGTGATGTCCTGACGTGGCAATTCAGAAGGCATTATCAACTCTTCATTGAGCGATCATGTTTTCAGGCCTCCACAATGAAATGCAGACAGATTCACTGGATGAGACTTTTTAGGCTCGTACAGTGAAATTCTTAAGGGTATGGTTTGGAAATCACGTGTTTGAGCCCCGGATCGACATCCGCCTAGGCCAAACAAGCCTTCCATCCCTCCAGGGTCGGTTGATTCGTACCGGACTCGGCTGAGAAGATAAAAGCATTGGCTTGTAAATCAGCTGACCCACCGCGAGCCATTGTATCGGCCACATACGCATTCAATACGTCACTACGATTCTGAATGGAAGACGAATGCGTGGGCGCATCCCCCCAGATGGGACTGATCAACGCCCAAGACTCTATCCTTTACCCTTGGGGTTCTGGGAATCTAGCCATTAATCGATGGTTGTCCATCAAAGCATTGACTGCCACTATCGAATCTGTATAGGAGCGCCACAACACAAAATTGATCGACACGAGGGAAACTTCGGATACAAAAAATGAATTAAATGGAATTCGCCTCGATTCCTGATTGAGTTTAGATCCTCTTTGATCGATTTAACGATAGGGTCCAATAAAGATATGATAGCATAACTCGAAGAAACCCGTATATCAGAAAATTGAAATTAAAATCTGGCCATTATCATGTGGGGTATAACAAGAAATGAAAAATCCAGAATTTCTTGACAAGCTTGCAATCAAAAATGAATATCGCTAGAGAAAAAAATCGAAAAGTGTCAGCAAAAATCGAAGAAATCACAGAATAGAAATTCTTTTTGGGCCACCATAAGACCTGGCTTCACAGGGTTCCCAGGGCTTTGCTTGAGAAGATTTCCTTGATAGTGGCAGATGTCGGTTTGATTTCAGTTATGACCTTTCTCATAATGTGACTTCTAATCGAAATTCAATGAAAAAGGGCTTTTCAAGTTTTCTCCGAATAGGAATGGGTATTCGAAAACTATTTCTGGTCCAAAAGTCACTGGTAAAGATTCGCAGCTAAAAAATTATAGTAACTTAACTAGGGTGGTCCAGTTTCGGCTAGAAAACCGTCCACTGGCCTCCGAGAACTGGTCTCGAAACTACAGCTTTTTTGAATTCTCTCTTCAAAGAGTAGCTCTGTAATTACCAAAAGTTTCCTTAAGATTTTTCCCCTCCAAAATCATTAAGTGACCTTTGGTTGTCGCTATTTTAATTGATTTAATCGAGAATTATGCTCCCGCTTAGAAGCTTTCTGCCGAAAAGCTTATTTAAAGCATCTTAACCCAAATCTTTTAATCCTTTGCAACATCAACGATTTAGGCCTCATAAAGTTTGCCTTTTAACACATATTCCAGTCCAGCCTTAAAAGGGGGTATTTTGGGGCATAGCTCTCAAATATAAAGCTAGAGGTTCTACTGACCAATTTCTGTTTGACACAGGTTTTTACACTCTGAATCCCTGCTCTAGCAATAGACAAGATCCATGAACATTCCTAGAGACGCTCCCACTTCAAACATCCTTTCCTAAAAACTCCTTTCTTCCCCGGTCTGCCTTTACCCGGTCCGTGAAGCAGACTAGTTGCCGGACCTTCTCTGGCTTCGGGAGAAACTCTTCATGTCCTACCATGCATTCTAGGAACCCTCGGTCATGACTACTCGCAGGTTGGTCCCGGAGCCGCTGGAACAGTCACGAACGAGTCGCGAGATGGAGAGATCTCGCAGGCGATGTCCACACCGGAGCTCGTGTCGAAATGGCAGGTTTCTTTCAGCTACATTCCGAAACTATCCTGAGCGTTTATACGCTATGGTCGGAGTCAATAAGGAAATCATGACAGGGAAGAGGGGCACGATCTCACCTACCACTCCCAGAAATGGACGTGTATTATCGACCTGGTGGAGGTTGCACCATTCTCATTAGAGCAGACTTGTTAGAAATTTGAACAGTTGATCAGGGAGATTAGCAATATACAATACAACAAAAGGAGAACAATATCAACAAGAAGAACAAAATGCTGATAACAAAACGCTATAACTAGCAAAGTATACATAAAATTTCCGAAAGTTTTAATGCATGCAGTTCCGTCCCACAGCATAAGGCAACACCTGGCACTTTTTGCTTATTGTAGCCACCCGCTTACGCAATTGCACACCACTGAATCTCGTCCAAATACTCATTCCAAATTATTTCTGTCATCCTTACTTCGTAAAATCTCTACTTTTACTATGTTTCAATAGTCCTGAATTTTTAGAATACCACAGATTTTCGCGCTAGCTCGTCCATCGATGATTCCCGATCAATACTTACACTTTTCTACTTTAAAAGTTACCACGAAAATGTTCGGAGCTGTGCCTATAAGTGGAGTTTAGTTGACGGAATCGCTGGAATTCAGTAGTTATTTCATTCAACCGTAGACGTCCTCTCATCTGATGAGTGATACAAGATCCTGCAAAAAATGAGCTAAGACAAATTTCAAGGGAAAAGACTGACAGGGTAGACATGAAAGCAATAACTGCTAAGTAACGGTTGTCAAATGATGATCCCGGTCTTAGCTTCTGCCGACGTTAACATGACATTCTTAGCCTGGTCTTATCTTCTGCTGACATTACAGGATATTCTCGGAAGTTTCGCATTAGCGACAGACATCTTCCTTCCGATAGAACAGTTTTTGTCCTAAAAGTCCAATCCAGCTATGCGCAACAAAGTCCTCTTTGAGCAAGGGAAGCAAACATCATAAAGACGTCTAGAGGACACAGAAGACCGTCAAATACCCTAATCTATCCTCATAAGAATGAAGTCTTCAGCGTCAAGCGGCCTCGTTCTGGGATACGCCCGGCCNGGGGTATTGAATGTGTTGTGGCCTCTACAACGATTTGGGGTGTCCAGCCGATGTACATGTCGGTGCCCTTTCAGACGAGTCTGATGTGAATAATCGACCTCGGACGGAGGGAAAGTTTGATTGGCTCGAGCAAGAGGGATCCGGGATTCGACCCCTGGACTATGCGTGTGATGGTGCACCACATGGCACTACATACATCGCTAATGTTCTGATGAGCTACGGTAGTACCAAAATAACTCACACACCCATAATTTCTTCCTTACAAGATCACGTACATAGTATAGAACAATTAGTTCAAATCGGAAATCGACAAAATACCGTATTTCTCTGGCGATGAAACATTATGTGCACAAAAACGTCACTAGACGTTTTATCAGATTTTTTCCTCGGCAGGAAGTAATTTGGCAGTTGCTTCGTAATTGCAAATTTTATTCCCAAAATAGTAAGAGGATATTTAAGGACACAGCAAAGCTTCCAATTAATGAAATCCAGGAATTGAGAGTAATAAAGAAATGATTGCAAAAATAAATAGTGAGAGTGAATAATGCTGCCTGAGTTTGGTTGCGATGTATAGGCTCCCGTTGGCTACAGCTTCAGCTATGTAACCTAACTGGTTTCGGAAAGAGAATAAGGTGCATGGTCGTCAAAGCTAGAAAGTTTACACCCTTCCGTTTTGTATGTGTAAAATAAAAATGCAATATCAATGTACTCCACTCCTACCAGTCCGAGAAGAGTTCAATACCAGGCGTATTCCAGGAAGTGACCGCTAAGCAGGATGAGAATTAAGCTTCATAATAAAGGACAAAGGATAACGTCTTAGAGCGTGAGTCATTCTTGTCCTTGGTATGAGCTCACGCATATAGTGAGATCGAGTCAACTTCAGCTATCAGTTAGATCAGCATACATTCAATATTGCATGAATATTTGACTGTCAAAAAAATATGTTCAAAAAAAAAACTCTTCACCGCGACATTGCGAGATCTCACACTTCGGCGCAAACAACTGCATTTTTCAGCACACAAAACATCGATTCGATGGGTAATCCGCCATATAGTCCTGGCGTGGCACCGAAGGCTTTTTATTATTCCCGTACGTAGAAAATATTATAAAATGAAAGTCAACATTTTTCGACACCTGAAGAAGCCGTTAATATTCATGCATGTTTTAGAGATACCTCAATTAGAGTGGCAAATGTGCTTCGACAATCGGTTCAAACGCATGCAAAAGTGTATAGATCTCAATAGGGTATATTTTGGTAAATAATAATCCCGAAATATAAAAGGCAACTTACGTATGAGGCCTATACAATGACTTGCGGTGGTCAGCCGATGTACTAGTCAACGCTTTTATCCTCCCCAGAGAAGTCTTGCACCAATTTGCCGACCCCGGGAGATGTGAGGCTTGGTTGGCCTGGGCGGATATCGATCCGGGATTGGAACCCGTGACCATGCGTGGGTTTCATTATATAATGCGTCACTTGCCACTACACCGCAGCCGTCCGAGCTTTCCGCTATCATTTACTTATGCATATGTGAAGATATGTTTGTGCTCTATCTCTGACGTCATGTACAGTGGTCAGGTGATCTCAGCCCCACTCCGGCTAGCCAATCTACATGCATAAGGGTTAAGGCCGTGAAAATGTAGTTGGGGCGACACTCTCTTCTCTGACACTAAGGCGCTAAAGAGCCAACGACTGGGGTTAGCGATGCGAGCATACTACTTTCGTTTAGATAGCGTCATCACAAGCTCTGTGGGCTATCTAAACGGAAGTAGTATGCTTGCATGCTAACGCTTACACTTTCGAAAAGAAGTGGTCAATGGTCAACTGAATGTTCAAATCTTCCCCATCCCAGTTTTTTGCACGAGGTCATTATCTTGAACACAGCGAAGCTGCTACCCTTCTGAGGCTTATTTTCAAAAAAAAANAAAAAAAAACCCATTATCCCATGGACAAAAACCTTTCCAACATCCAAGTCGGCTACCCCTTCTTATCTGTGCTCTAGCGCCAAGTGTTAGACAAGAAGAGTGAACCTCTTACAACTAAATTTTTACCTCTTAGGTATATCAAGCAGTATGCATATGCAGAGACTGCTTCCACTTAACGACATTTTCGAACTCGACCCTCGAAAGTGAGGTTGAGAATTCATCTCAGAGGTTCCTAATTGGGGTTGAGCAAGAATAGATGTGGAAAGCTTGGCGAATCTTTTCATCAGAATTAGGAAGCCAGAAGAATCTGTCAAGAATTTTCAATGAAGGCGTTCATTTTTGAAATTAATTTCATTGGATGGATGAACTAGTCGAGAGAATGAGAATGAGAACAATCAACTTCGACTTCAGAACTTCGAAATACAACAGAACATAAATAGAACGACATAATAGGATTGGAAGGACCTTGACACCTTGACAGTCGGCTCGTTTATCCATTCGAAGGCGGGAGGACATTCGAAGGAGTTGGCGACCTACCACGTTACTGCCTGAGCCTCGAGGTATCAACATCGCCATCTTCACCACGTGGCTACCCTTTCTATCATTTCAAGCGATTTACTCTGTTCACTATCAGTACCGAGAACCAGTATTAAGGAGTAATGCCACTATTCAATCAGAGCTGGAGCGTGTTCCACTCAAGTCATCCGATTTTCCTATTCAGGTATTTCGGAGCTGTATGCTACTATTATAAGCTCATCGTTGAGTAGTGAATTACAACTAAGGTATACAGACTTTGAGTAAAAAGAAGGGAATGTTGAGAACTTGTTGGACTCAGAGAAGAGAAGAAAAGCAGGAAAAATAGGACCATTATGAGAAATCAGAATGAATTCGAGTGCATTTTGTCATTTGGTGGTTTAATAGTGGCCGACGGGATGAGAATGCGTCGTTCAATTTCTCAGATAATAGCCATCCGCGTCCTATCAAAATGTTAATACCACCCTGCCTCAAAGGGATTACCATAGGTGGAAAAGGAAGGCAAGCGTTGATGGAAGGTGAAGAAAGTACAAATGAAATTAATCTGGTTTATTTACAAAAGTGGTGGACATTAGGTCTATTCAGCTTACGATATTACTCCTTATCTATCTGCAGAGTCAAAGACCGGTACAGCTCAGTGGAAGCGCCCTTACTCAATAAAAACAGAAGTACAGGTTTGATCCCACTTAAGATGACTAAGAATTCCTTATTTTAGGGTTGTAAAGAAACAGTCGTAGACTGCTGACGGGTTCGAGTCTAGTCCAAGGACAAAGTTTTGCCCCAAGACCCATAACTCGCTAAGATCCTGACACTAGATAGAAAGGAAAGCAAAAGGGAAGAAAGTGAAAATGAGAGGTAGCCAGGAAATATTCAGTGCAAAATAAAATAAAATTTAGTCAATAGGCAAAACGTAAAAAAAGAAAAAAGAAGGGTAGATAGGAGAAGGGTAATTAAGGAACCTGCAGAGATTGACCCAAAAATTGGCTGACATCCAAAAGTTTTTCATCGAGATTTTTATTCAATACCGTAACCAAACGCCTTCAAGAATTGATAGTCGAGTATGAGAATGCATCTTCAAATAACTTTTGAAGAATTGCAGAGGCTAGCTTTTAAGTCCATCTGAGCGTTTCCATTAGGGGATAAGCGAGGATTCAGCACCAGCCCTTTGATCCCTTATCAACAAATCCTTTCCAAGTGGTCTTTCAGGGCCTGTTCTTCCTTTTTAAAAATGTCGATTACTATTTCAACCAGTGCCAACCTTTTTCGACTTCATTATCGTTGCAGGAGCCCAATAAAGATTGCCGAACGACGTATTCCGTATTGACTGCATTAGCTCATGCTCATTCGGGTAGTCGCCGGCTGTGTGTGGAGGATGTTCGGTTGATGGAATTAGGCGATTAGGTCTCATTCACATGCGACACCACGCCACTCCGACCTCATCGCGTCCTTCCATCCGATTTCGATTGTTTCGAGAAGCGATTAACATTTTGGTAATTCCCTCATCTCGAACAAACATCCTCATCTACATGGCCATTCACGTTCATAAGGGGGTAGCCATTGACTGCACTGCAGATGTCATACAGTTGAGGTTGTAGTCCAGGATCCTGGGGATATGGCTTTTTACTATCCCAGAACTTATGTTATTGGGTAATCAGTCTCCCTTTACCTTTGTAATTTCAAGAAAGATCATCCTCGCATATAATGAAGGGTCAAAGCTGCCCTTACTGCTGAATATGAGAGAGCAGCGTCTGCTATGGAACAGACAACTACTTAGAAGACCATAGCAACATCCTATAAGGAAAGAAATGGAGCTTTAGGGGAGCCGAGAAGCTCCAAAGCAATGGCGAGACGTGGCCAAGAAGGACCTCGCTGAAATCAGGCTGTCAGAATATGCTGCACATAGGAAGAAATGGTAACGACTTATAAGGACAGCGGATTCTGTGACGACGCAGGATTAACACTGAAGAAAAGAACAAGAGAAACGAGCTGGAGCTGGTCGAACTTCTAAGGTATAAGCCATACTTTTGGTTTTCATATATAATCTTAGAAAAATGTGGACACTTAAGCTCTCGTAAATGATCAGTGCATTCCAAAGAAGAGGAATAGATCGAAAGGAAAAGAAAGAAAATGAGAAGGGAAAAATATGCTTTCAAAACGAAAATTTAAGAGCTGTCAGGAGTATTCACAGTCCCGACTCTCTCCACATAGACGTAAATCCTGAGTTTGATAGAGATCTTTTCTATCTATGAGGGAGAGGTTAAGATGTAGATGGTGATCAAATTCCTTGGTCAAAGTGATAATTCTAGAATTTCATAGCAAGTGGTAGACAGTTATGAGTAGCTATTAGACTCTCGTGGGTGCTCCACAAAGAAGGACAAGTAATAATTAACAAATCCAAATCGCGAAGAGAAAAAAAACTAAGAGAGTAGATTCCGAAAAAAATCACGGAGATTTTGGCCATCGGAAAAATTCCGAACAAAAAGCAGTCACATAAGGCTGCGAGTACAAAAAAGTAAAACAGGTGATCACCACATTGTGCCCACCTAGAAGGTTCCAGAGATGGTGCGAAACATTAGCTGACACTATTTAGTAGTCGTGTTAGACAGTAACAAGTAACACAATCGAAAACTACGGCTCGCTTAGGTCTCAGAGAGAGAAGGGGGGGGGGGGGGGGGGGGGGGGGGGGGGGTAGGGGTGACGGTTAGGTTGATAACTGACTTATTGATGTCGCCAATGCTACAGATCACAACGATTTATTTATTTGATCACTGATCAATTACATAAACAAGCAACCGGAAAAGGTAACTCTGACAATAATTGATGATACACATATCAATGTACAACAAGCATCTAATTGCAGCAATGCTGACTGCTGTGTAAGTTAATTTTGTACTTAGTATGTTGGCACTAATCCAATTCGGTAGAGATTTTGTGTTGTGTTCTGCGTTATGTCGTTAGAGTAAACAAACAAACAAACGAAGTGTTTTACAACCGGTCGGTGCCATTTATTTCGACTGGTAGATTGATTCTACTTCACGAAAATCCAGAAGATTTCACGCTTCCCCTGATGAGAGTCCTGTTCCTACCTGAGTTGCAGCCGCTCGTCTGGTGGATTGAGCCCGATTCCATCGGCCTCGGTTGAGGATAAGGTTCCATCGTCGAAATTCCTAAAACGAACAGTTAGTTGATTGGTTGCGAAAAGCTCCATTGACGTGAGTCCTAAACTGAACGTTCACTTAGCAATCGTTAGTCGCTCTGTTGGCCGTTCCCATGTCTTCGAGGTGTGAACCCTTTTTACGACAGGTGTTTCTGGAGATTACCCACACCGGCGTCATTTCATTTATACCCCTCCGAACAGATTACTAGAAGTCTAATCTAATACTGCTACTTCTCTAAAGATATTCCGGCTCAATGATTGTATGCGATGATTTTGAAATTGATAATAATAATTTTTATTTTATTCTGATGCATCTGCTGTCGGTGTTTGCAATAGCTTTCAATGCTTTTGCCATATACTGTATACTCTATAAATCAACAAAACAAATGGGTATTTATAAATGGTATCTACTGGCTTATCAATTATCATCTACCGTATTCGACATTACTTATATGATATTTACCCTACCAGTAATATTTTTCCCAGTACCTATGGGTTATGCAGCTTCGTGGTTTGCCAGAATGTTTTCTATCAGTGGCCATACTGCTGTTCAAATGGTTGTCACCGCTTGTTTATGTCTTGTTGCCAGTATTGTTAATCTCTTTGTTTATCGTTGCCATGTTATCATTCCAAATTATCATTTTTTGAAAGCAAGTAATAACGGTAAGAGACAGTGACTTATTTTTGGTTTATTTCTATTTTTATTTTATTTCTATTTTTTATTTTATTCACAGAATATTTTTATGTTATTTTTCACTAAAATAGCAAAGGCAGTGGGCATTAGGAACAAGAAAGCCAGGTCTCACCAGTGCTCTAACCGTCTACGCCCTCTCACATCCGCTTGGACACTATGCCGACTTGCGCATGCTCCGCCCCTTTTAGGGCCCTTTTAGCCTAAACTGTGCACCATGTCGCGTCCTTTGCTAAGCTTCGACGGGTCACTTACCTAGGCATATCATCTTCAAGTAAAGTATAAAATATTTATTTGAATACTGCGCCCTCTGAATCGGATTTTGAGGTCAAATCTACGCTACTGTTATCATATTCGCACTTCACCTACTATCATGTCCCGTTGGTATTGCAGGCATAGCACCTGATCAAGTAGAAGCTAAAAAATGGTGCTTGGAGGTGAGTATTACTGTTGGCCATTCATGGTGGCCCTGACCTCTATAGCGAGATGCTCTAGCGATAGTTATTTATATTTATTTACGGCTAACATTTGGAGTGTTAAGGAGTACACATGCGCCAAATCTGCGGCATTTCTCCCTCAGCTCTATTTCTACACTCCCCATCGACTTGAACGTCCTGCTATAGCAGCTACGACAGTTGGATCGATCTCGGGTATTATTTGTGTCACCTGTATTGTTATGTCTTCGTATTTCCTTCGCCAGAATGGGAAACTATCGGAGAAGACTAGACAGATGCAACGACGCTTTCTGCTTTACCTCTGTATTCAGGTAAGCCATGTTCTGAGCTCTACCGCTGTTTACGAAGTGTTCAAGAGGCTTATATCTTAAAATTATTTGTACAACACCCTTATTTCACTCATTTATTCATTTGAAAAATCAAAAACAAATTGGTTCTCAGTTCTCTTATTTACTAAAATATTTGTTTACATTTGATAAATCTAAATTTTTTTTAGAAAATCAAGCTCATGTCCGAGTGTTAGTACGTCACAACGGAATTGTTAAGGATTTTGAACATCACAAGAATTTTTCTCACTTACAACTAGCCCCATCACTATTTGTTGTTTATCTGTTTGTTGTTTTCTGTTTATTTGTTTGCTTATTGTCACCGAAACCTTTTACATCAGAGTGACTTAGGTATTGATTCCGACTATTTGTATGTTTATACCTATTGTTACATTAATGTATATATTCGGAACGACTAACGACACGAAGCGAGGTACAATTTTTTTACCGAAAAAGAATTACGAGCTGGTTTGGTGAAAGTGGCTGTATTGAAAAAAAAAATTAAAAAAATATTTAAAAAAATAAAAACCTATCAGAGACAAAAAGCTGTGACGGTAAAGTTGTCGATAGCTCTGAATGCATTTCTCAGGTATGAAGCAACACCATATGTGGTAAATGTCCCGATTCCCATATGCCTCTTCGCAATCTTTGCTAGTTGCCTCACTACGCAACTTGTCCTAGCAGGATACCTTGACTAGTTGTCTTGTTTCATGGTCTCAGAAACCACAATCTCGCAGCTCGCATTAATGGTCTCGCCAAATTCCATCTATGACCTTCCCACTTCTCTGAGGATAGGGCCAAGTTGATGTTTCACAGCTCTGAGGACGCTTTCAGGTCAGAAAACATTCTTTGGCCCCCTTCAAAGTTCCCGAGATCACTTCACGTTATGATAACGCTGCTAGTTTGCATCCGTTTTTGAGATTGGATTCAGTATTAGACTTCCTTCAGTGACCACTGCCGTGTCGAGTACTAGAAAATCTCTTTCTGAATTGTTTTAGACCTCGGAAATTTCGCATTGGCTTTACTTGGAACGCATGGTTGCGTGGAAGCGGTAACAGTTATCATGTGTAACGAGCCGTACAGGACGTTTGTGACCAGGCCACTGAGGGAACGTAAGTTTTTGCTACTTGTATTCTTTCAATTTCTCACATATTCGATCGTCAAGTATGTCCATCTAATATTTTTCCAGTCTGGAAACGCAAGGAGGTGACAATCGTTCTCAATTCGGCCGTCAGTAGCTCAGGAATTGCACATTCTACTTCTTGAAGGCACAGTTCACGATAAAAGTGGTCTTTGAAATTTTTTCTTAGGATGAATCTGCAACCTCCCGGAGAGCACGAAAGACACTATCGGGTAGAAAAACAGCCCAGATAGGGCGAAAAAGGGCTCTGAATCCGGTTTAACCAATGTACACATCCGAGGTGGGAGAGTTCTCACCGCGTTGCAAAGCCTTAAGGGGTTGCACCACTTGCACCGAGGCGCACACGTGGCACGCATGCAGCTTACTGTAGACAGTGTACGTGAAGGCGCACACACTTGGACAACTCGTCCAAATACCCCTTCCACACAGCTTTTGCCGTTTTATTCAAGTCCCACGGTCCAACTTTACAACTTCTTTGAGACCCTATAGTTTTATGAATGCACCGATTTTTCCGTTTTCTTCTCCATTTTTTTACTCTTCTGGACTATCGCTTCCAATATTTGTCTAAATCTAGTCACAATAAAATTGTCGTGTGTTGTGCTTTTCAGAGACATTTAGGAAGAAACTGTCATGGGATACTGTAATTTGTCTGCAACGCTGTAATGTATACTGTAACTGAATAGACATAAAAGCTTATCACAGCAACAACAGCCGTTTACTGCTTCTCTGTGATTCTCGAACTTTACTATACTTTTCAGAAACTGCAGGCAACTTCCCAAAACCAAAGAACACCAGCAAAGACAAAACTGTAGGATACCAGTAATCTTAATGCTAACCGGTCGATGAAAAAGAATAGTTTTTCACACTCCCATTCAGGACTGTCCAACCATTTTAAGTTCGCTATTCGATGCAGTCGGTGACCTCACGCTGTGAAGAAATTCTGAGGTCATATAGCTGAAGACTTTGAAGGATTGGTTTGGTGTCACACTCCGACTCCTAGATCATGTGCGTGGTAGTGCGGCACTCGGCTGTACCCACCCCACTGAAGACAAGTAATTTAGGTATCCCCAACAACATTCGTTTCTGCCTGACCTCGACCCTAGGATATTCTAATATCGATGACATGCCAAACTTTGCTTTAGAAAAACTGGTTAATATAATGTTAGATGATTTACATGAGCGATTTAAAATATAGTACTTCCGCCTAGACGGCACAACTGGACCAGGATAATATTGCCATCTGATATCAAGCCAACACCAGAACGGCTACCACCTGTGAAAAAGACAGTGCTTGAAAGTTTCCCACGCATGCAAGTGCGAAGCGGAATTGGAGTTTCGAGCTCCATCAATGAACGAAGTTCAGGGGCGCCGTTTCTAATGCCAAAGAATCAAACATCAGACGGACCATGTGATATTACCTCATGTGATATTATGATGGGCGTTGGACGAGGGTGGTTACTGACTGGATCTCTGGTATCGTCAAACTTACACCAGGCCGCCACCAGTGTGATGGTCGGACATCTTCACGAAAGCTATGAACGAAAGGAATACCCTCGTGTCCCTCGAGCGACAGATCTGAATGGAGACGTCAGAAGTGCCCGCTCGAGGAAATCAATAATCATTGGGACAACAGATTGTCAGCTGATAATTCGGCAGAATAAAAAAGGTCCTCTTCTGTTCTGCTACATCAATCTCTTTTGGACCGAAAGGGCTACGATCGAAAGGAAGTAATCTGCAGTGGCAGGTGCTTTGATGACGACTGAGAGCGGAAACCCGACGTCAGTTTCTGATATCACCTCGAGTTCACTGACTTATCGTCCCTCTAGTCAGCCACAGTCAAATGATTGAATGTGATGAGCTCGACCTCGAAAACACTTTCTACGTGACTCTCATGCATACCCTATCCTTCGTAGATCTCGCTATGAATTCATTAGCTATTTACTGTATTACCTATAAATCAACTAAACAAATGGGGGCTTATAAATGGTATTTGTTGATTTATCAAATTGTTTCTGCTATATTCGATATTACCTATACGGCTGTCACTTTACCGGTATTGTTTTTTCCAATACCCATGGGTTATCCTGGTGGATGGATTGCCCACTTCATACCTGTCGATACTCGTACTACTTTAACTATGGTAACTATAACTTATTCGTGGCTTGGTGCTTCCATTCTGAATCTGTTCAACTATCGTCGCCATGTGGTCACTCCCACCCATCCTATCCGGAATATTATTGACCACGGTGAGTATTCCTTTACAGTGGGTCTGAGGCTATGGATTTTTCATATTCAGGCCAATAACGACCTTATATCCGTCTAGCTCTTACGGCAAGTAAAGTGTGCCTGGCACTTCTGAAATTGTAAAGACGGTCGCCAACCCTTCATCAGAAGAACACGCTTCTTCTACGGGGAGGAGTTTTGACCGCCAAGAACAAGGAGACATATCAGCTGTTCTTCAGTAGCGTTCAAGCCTATTCTTAAAGGCACAGTTTACGATGAAAATGAATTTTGAGATTCCCCCACAGGATGAAATTGAGGCCTCCGCGTATACCATATCTGGAACTATTAGGTCGGAAAACGGCCTAGTTAGGGAGTTAGAAAGGCTCAAAGAAAGATTCAAGTATGTATCCTCGGACGAGTTCCCTGGCATTGTAGAGGCTGCACCGAACACAAAGGAACCCATGTAAGAGGTTCAAACGCCGTCATGACCCACTGCTACAGCGAAAGGCAGCACTGTGCGGTTCTGGCCTGTCAGCTCTTTGTGCAATTGCAATAACTGGAACTCGTCCGAATACCCTTTCCATGTTATTTCCGTCATGGCTAACTCGTCCAACCTCTATTTTCCCTACTTCGAGGAGCCATATTTTTCTCGAAATCGGCGAGTTCTCTCGCTTTCTTCACAACCGATGAACAATTCCCAATCTATACTTCAGCTTCTCGAATAAAAACGGGTACCTCAATGTTATCGTGAACTGTGCCTTAAAAGGATATCATGATCATGAACGTCCTTAGATGATCACGTACATAGTATAGAACAATTATTTCAATTCGGAAATCGACAGAATACCGTACTTGTCTGGCGATGGAATATTATGTACACAAAAACCTCATGACGTTTCATCAGATTTTTTTCGGAAGGAAATAATTTCGTAGTTGCTTTGTAATTGCAAATTTCATCCCCAAAATAGTAAGGGGATATTTAAGGACACTGCAAAGCTTTCTAATGAAATCCAGGGATTAAGAGTAATAGAGGAGTGATTGCATAAAGTGCATAAGCGATGAAATTAATATCACCGCTTGAGTTCAGTTGCGAAGACACTAGGTAAATCTGATTCATATGGGTTTCGATTGGCTATGACTCAAATTATGGTAACCTAACTGGTTTCAGAAAGGGGGGGGGGGGGGGGGGGGAGGGTTGTGCATCAAGGCTAGAGAGTTCGTACCCTCCGCTTAGAAACTGTCAAGCAGGATAAGAATTAAGCCTTCCCATGAAGGACAAAGCGTTAACCAGCGTCTTGGAGCGTTAACCAATCCTGTACATGGGATGAGCCCACGCATTCAACCTTCATTCAGAATCGAAGACGTATTGAATGCGTATGTGGCCTATACAATGACTTTCGGTGGCAAGCCGTTGTACAAGTCGAAGCTTTCGCCCTCCCAGATGAAATCTGGTACCAACCGTGGTTCGAGCCTGTGACCATGTGTGTGTGAAATGCACTACTTGCCTCTACATCACTACTGCAGTTTTAGGAGACTATTCATGTGGTTAGAATATTCTAGGCGACTCAAAGTGAGAATCTCCGAGTCTAATCTCCATGTTCGCTTTTCTTAAAACCTAGACATTTGTGCAGTAAGTAACCAATGCCTCCATACCGAAGCGGTTCCTTGATGGTAGAACACTAACTATGCCTGATGTTTCGACAAATTCGTCGTTCTCAAAGCCCTGGAAATGTCTCGATACTTCAGACTGTTACTTATCACGCTTGAGGCAGAGCAACCTTGACTAGTTCCAACTCGGACCAATGAACTTCCAACAAAGTAGGGGTCCCAACAAGTCATTCACCTCAATTATACCATCACCGAACGGTTGCTCAAGACGAAGACGATAGAGCAAGTGGGACTGCCTGATGAACTACGACACATGAATAGGTCATGATGTCACACCCATCAATTCCAACTACCAAAAGTCGTACAGTAGAATGTAGGTTGCTCTTTTGAGCCTTTCAGGGTCATTCGACGCTAGGAATCTCCTTTAAGAACTATTGGTGTAGTGGTAAGCAATGCACATAAGAAAAATATGGCCCAGGCATCGAATCCCGGATCGATATCCTTCTGAGCCGACCAGTCCTTCAATCCCTTCTGTGTCGGTTGACAGATACCAGGCCCGTGTGAGAGAATAAAACCACTGTCTTATCATTCGACTGGCCACTGCCTCATGTATAGGCCATAAGCGCATTCAAATGCTACTGTGATTCTGAATTGGAGTATAATGTGGGGCGCACCCTGGAGGGGAATTGATCAGCCTTTTGAATACTACTCAGTCACTATTTATAATCTACCGACCAAAGCATGGTGAGCGAAAAATTACCATAATTGCCTTCATTTTTCTACCCCCATGCCCTAGAGGTGAACCGAAACTCCTGAAAAATTGGTTTAGTCTTTTATGACTTCATCAAAACTGAGACTTTAGGTCACATTTACATGAGCATTATCATATTTCTTGCATATTTTATTCCGGCTTGTTTTGCAATGTACGATGTATTACCTGATCAAGCTGAAGCCAGAAAATGGGTGGAAGAGGTACGTTTTCAGGTGTAAACCACATCGCTACTTGTATCACAGTGAACTAAGCAAAATAGTTGGGAATAACAATAAAAATGAAAACTGTGCCTTCACAAAGACTGTTGTTTCTAATTTTGTGACCTCTAATATGATTTTTATGATTTATCAATGAATTGAGTAAATCAAATAACACATTATGTGGATTTATTTTAGCAATACACCTGTGGCAAGCCAGCACTTCATCTACCGCGAGTCCAAATTTTCACGCATTCAAGTTTATTCCGTCTTGCTTTAACGGTTTTTACACTGGCTACAGTAGGATTACTTTTTGCTGGATTCTGTATAACTACATCGTTCTATTTTCTAAGCCGAAATAGAACCCTATCACCAAAGACAAGACAAATGCAAAGGCTTTTTATCATCTATCTTTGTATTCAGGTAAGTGCTATGTGCCAACCCACATTATCTGCTTGTACATCTGTCTGTCTGTCTGTCTGTGTGTCACTGCCTACACAATGAACTACTGCGACCAGCCGAGTTCTTATATCCTCCCGGAAGCCGAGCTCTTATATCCTCCCGGATGAGCGATCCCCGAGGAATAGATGACTTGATTAGTCCAGGCTGACATCGATCTGGGATTCGATCACTTGATCTCGCGTGTGCAATAGTGCCACTACCCACCATCCTCTACTGATAAATATTGATAAAAATCATTGATTCTGACAAATAGAGTCGGAAGTCGGCTGGGGTTTATCGCACGAGCTGGTTGTAAGCTCATAGCATAGCTTTATCTAAGATTTCTTACTTTCAGATATCTATTCCAGCCGCTACTCTGGGTTTGCCACTGGTCATTCTAATGTTGATGGTTACTAGAAATAGCCAGGCTAATCAAGGTATTCAATTAAATATTAACAACTCAATAATAACACCATTTTTTGGGAATTTTTTTTTCGACAGTTCCCGCATATTTTCCAATTGAAGACACAAATCATTCAGGTGAAGGAAACATTGTGTTGGGCGTGAGTGGATTACATGGATGTGTGGCAGGGATAACGTTGATCATGTGCAATGAACCTTACAGGAAGTTCGTCACCAGACCTCTGATAGAATGTGAGTTCAGTGAAATGCCCAACCTGAATTTCATTTGAATTTGAAGAAAACTCTCGAATTTCTTGTTGTGATGTAGTGGAAATTCAAAGAGGCAATCAAGATCGGTTGCCTTGCGTGGGTAT